GATAGGCTAGGGCAAAGACTCGTCTGTTACCTGACTTTTATAAGCCTCTTCTGTGACCCATGGATCATGGTGACAGTTTGGGTGTCCAGGATTAGGGTTACTTTATAGCCCGTATCCAATAATCTGTAAAAAGTTGCGGTACAGTCATCCCTTGGTATCTGTGGGGGTTGGTTCCAGGACCTTCGTCCCAAAGTGGATACGAAAATCTGCAGATGTTCAAGTCCCTTGTATAAAATTGCATAGTATTTGCATATGACTTATGCACATCCTCCCACATAGCTTATGTCATCCTAGATTACTTATAATACCTAATGTAATATAAATGCTGTGGAAATAGTTGCGACACTGTACTTTTATTTGTAGTATTTATTGTTGTATTGCTAGTTTTTATTTTTCTAAGTATTTTCAATCTGCAGTTGGTTGAATCTGCAGATGTGAAACCTATAGGTACAGAGTGCTGACTGTATTTCCCATTCTCTGGCACATCATGGTAAATATGGGGAAGGCTTGGGAAAAGATTCTTGGTATACACTTGTAGCCTTGTTGCAGGTCCTTCCTTAAAAAATCTGTAGTCCCTCTCTGAAAAGGGGCTCCAAGTCTGAGCTGGATCGGGAAACTGAGTAAAATGCTGTGAATCCTGGGCCGGCCCGGTGGCGCACTGCGATAGTGCGCTGCTTGGGAAGCGCGGCAGCGCTCCCGCCGAGGGGTCGGATCCCACATACGGACTGGTTCCCGCTCACTGGCTGAGCGAGGTGCGGGAGCAACGCCGAGGGTTGCGACCCCTTTGCCGGTCCCGGTCCGGTACGGGGGCGACACTGAGGGTTGCAATCCGTTGCCAGACACGGGGGGCTCCAAGTCTGAGCTGGATCGGGAAACTGAGTAAAATGCTGTGAATCCTCACTTCTGCAACTCAAGTTTACGTTTAGCAGACCTGGAATTTTTCTATCAGAAAATTTTTCAATTTTCTAAAAAAATGACTTGTTTTATGTCATTTCTTTCTTTTCTGGAGGCTTTTTGATCAATTAGGCATTAACAGATCCATATGAGCCAAAGCGCAAAGCTTATGGTTTGGAAATAAAGTTGTCATTATTTGCAGATAACATGATAGCATATGACAGAGGTTGGATGTGTTGTCCCCCCAAAACTCATGTGGAAATCTGATCCCCAATGTAGCAGTGTTGGGAGCTGTTTGAGTCATGGGGGCGGATCCCTCATGGATGGATTAGTGCTCTCCCTGGGGGGTGGGGTAGTGAATGAGTTCTTGCTTTATTAGT